CAGCTTCTTTTTGTTTCTGTGATAATAAATATTTGATTAGTAAATTAGTCATGAACTAAACAAACTCTTTCTTGATATTCTTTAGCACGAAGTGACTTTAGTTCTTTTTGATAATCAAACCAATCTTTCTTATGTTCTTCTAATGTTTTTTCTTGTTTTGTTTTTTCAATTCTATTAACAATAGAATTGTCTTTAATAACTTTTCTAAGTTTTCTTAATTTCTCTTGATGAAATCCAACTTGTCCTATGTCCATTCCATTTGTCTTTTTTAAATTACTTGCTGGTGTATACACAATATTAACACTACGTAATTTGCATCCTTTAATACTTCTTGATTTGACTAATTGACAACAATCTTCCAATGCTTCGTCTGGAAGAGTTTCGATTGTGTCTCCATCTTTCATTCGGAGATAAACATGTGCTGATGATTCACTGTCAACATGAAACCATAAGTCATTAGGAAGTGCATATTTGATAAGTTCTTCATTCTCATATTTGTCAATTCCAACATAAACAAGATAATCCCCTCGAATCAAATAAGTAAAAACCATGTTGAACTATTCTACTTAACCCTTCTAAAATTTTAGTTTTTCTTATTTTTCTTAAAGAAAAGAAGTTTAAAAAATAATAGAGGAAAAAAGAATAATTTTATGAGAATTATTTGATGATGTACAGAATATTTGTTAATTAACTTTGATATGACTTATGGGGGTTTGAACTAAAAATAATCTTTTAATGTGTTTGATTGTGTTATTGAATTAATTAAATACAATGGATATTAAAAACTTAATAAGATGATATTTTAAATGTTGATTTTTTATTTTCATTCTTCCTACACTCTTTTTTGATTTGCACTGATTTATCTTAATATTTCTATAGATTTTTTAAGGTGGTTATGGGATAGTAATACATTAATTGGTTGTATTGAATCATTGATAATACTAACTAAAAATTAAGAAATTAAGTTTCAGTATATATTGATTTTCTACTTTATTCAGCTTATTTGAGATTATTTCATTCACTCTCTTAAAATTATTGTTTATGATGTACTTTTATATTTCTATATTCTCCTCTATTATCTCCTCCCTATTTTATTAGATATTTCATGTCATTATTCATTATATCTTTTACTAGTAGTTAAAATTGTAATTATAATGTTTTATTCTTTTACATTTCTTATCACCTCTTTATTGAATAATCTGTTTATTGTAATTATTTTATTCTATTAATTTGTCTTATTTTCTCTTAATGAATTTTATCCATTTCTACTTTATTAATAATTGTTGGTTTTATCTTTTTATCACATGTTATTGTTATGTCTTTTATTATTATTTGTTTTATATTCTTTACAAATGTCTTTTCTTTTATTGATTATTTCATATTTCAATACATTGATTATTTCTTTATTTTCTATTCTTTTTCATTTTTATCTTTTTCATTTTTACTGTTGTTTATTTTCATTATATTCTCTTGTTTTATTCTCCATTCTTCATTATATTTATTTTATATTTCATTTTAGTTATTCACATCATTTGATTATTCATTTATTATTTCATATTTAATTTATTTGTTCTTATTTACAATATAATTTATTATTATTTATTTATTCATTTCTTGTTATTTTATCATTACAAATAATACATCATCTATCATTTAATGTATTTATTAATTTGTTCATTTCATACAAATGTGTTATTTTCTTTCATTAATTCCAATGTTTATATTCACTTCTTTTTATATTATTATTCTTCATTATTTATTTGTTATTTTCTTATCATTTCATTATCATTGTATTTAATTAATTGATTATTCACTTTATTCATTTTCATTTATTAATATATTTCATTATATTTATTCTTTCATTATTTTATTAATTTAGTTGATTCATTCTTATTTTGTATAATTTGATATATTTCATTACATTCATTTTTATTATTTCTTTTACAGTATGATTTATACAATCTCTTCAACATTCAATTCAAATTCATTTTCAACATTTCTCATATTTCATTCTCTCTTATTCATAGTTCATTATTGCTATAATCATTTCAAAGGTATATTCATCTCTTATTGACACTATTCCATCTCATAATGCTTCTTTATTAATTTTATTTATTATTATAGTACTAATAAAATATTACTTGAATTATTATAAATATGTTGACATTCAACTGACTCTCTTTTTATTATAAGTATAATTCAATGAATATATTAATACTTATTTCATTATGGTTTCTAATAACCAAATCATTGCCCGTGACTTAAACGTGTTTTTTGGTGCAAAATTGTTGTGAGTTAATTGGTTATTATTTTTGTTTCTCAAATACAAAAGCATATCCATCTTATTTTTAATATAAAAGTTAATTTATCTCATTAAGTTATTATCTCAATGGCAAAAGTATTGTATAAAATGATTAAAAATTGTTAGTCAATTTATTATTTTATTATATTGATTTAATACCTTAACATAGACTTTTTATTTCATAAAAATTGATGAAGAAAGTTATAAAAAAGTGAAATAATTATAATAATCTGTTAATGATAAGAAATGTTGTTAAGCAATAAAGAAAATGAATCCTTATATTCAAGTTGATGCAACTAGTCCCATACAACTTCCAAAGAAAATTGTTATTTGTGGATGTCCATATAGTGGTAAAACTTCATTAATACGCAGGTTTTTATGTAATTCTTTTGTCGAAGAATATTCTGTTTGTAAAAGTATTTATTTTAATCAAAAAATAAAGAACAAAACGTTTAAATTATTATAGAAGACAAATGGTATTGATGTTATTCCAAGTTCAATATTTTTTGGTGAAGTTATTATCCATTATAATATTTGGGATTTTCCTAATTGGGAGATTAATAAAGATATAGTTAATAGATATATGAGTAAAACAGATGCTGCAGTTATTGTTTTTGATAATAGTATTGAGTCATATCACTATTGTCTTAAATGGATTGATGTTCTTCACCAAATTTATCCTGACACACGAATATTTGCAATACAAAATAAATATGACTTAATAAAGAAATATGATAGTAATTGGATTATTCAATGCATAAATGAATTGAAACAAAAAGAAGTACCATATTATCAAGTAAGTTCTAAAAGTGGATATAATGTTAAGAATTGTTTTAATGAAATATTAAAGAAATTATTTGATATATCAACAACAACACCATTAATAGATCCATTAGAGACTCAAGAAGTACCAGAAAAGAAATATTATTGTAAGAATTGGTTTTGTTCTTATCAGCAATTATAAATGAAAGAAATTAAAATATAAAATAAGATTAAATTAATAATAAATAATTTAAATATTAAATTATCAAAGTTCATATTCAAAAGCAATAATTCTTTTTAATTTAAATTGTGTAGGATTTGGAATAAAGAAATAAGCATCATCTCCATGTAGAATTTTTCTTTCAGTTTTATAATAAGTAGAATAATTAGTACTAAAATAACCAGTAACTTTTTTTGATTCTTCATCAAATTTAAGAGTAAAACCACATTCTATATGATAAAAGAAATTATTATCATCTAATTTACTTATAATTCCATATTTTCTTATTACTTTCATAGGAACTTTAGATGGATTAACAAGAGTAAATAAAAATGATTGATCATCATCAAGATATATTCTTTCTGTAATATTTAATTCAATTCTTTTATGACATACACCAAAGATAAAACCTTTATCAGTAAAAAATAATAAACAAATTCTTTTATTTGTATTTGCATTTTTAGTAAGAATAAGTTTATGAAGACTATCTTTTTCTATTCCATTTATTTTACTATCGTATAATAAATATAATTTATCTCTTTTTATCCATTGACTTAATTTTTTAAATCCAACTATTCCAATTCCATCAAATTGTAATGAATCAATTAAATAAAGATTATTTCCATCAATTGATGTGTCAAGTATTTTAATAAAATAGCAATCTTCTTTTATTTCTATTGTTTGATTCTTTTCTTGTTTAATTTCTGGTGATAAATTATCTTTATTTTTTAAAATAATTGGTTCATTTAATGAATTGTTGACTGTCAAATTTATTGATGATTGAGTTATTTTCATTTCAGTTTCTGGTTGTTCTAACACATTTTCTTTTTGACTGTCATCATTTTTAATTAATTGTAAATCTACTACTTTTCTTTTTAAAGGTGGTTTATCACAAACCTCATTTAAGTTATTTATTTCTTCTTTTAAATATTTAATTTCTTCTTTTAATGCAATAATTTCTTGAACTTTTTGTTCTAATGTTGCATATCTTCCATAAAATACACCAACAAATGTTTTTAATTCTTCAAATTGTTTTTTTAATTCTGTTATATCATTTTGACTATCAGATGAGATGTTCATAGAAATTATTAAATAAATAAAAAATTGAGTTTTTCTATTTTTTTTTATTTCTTTTTGTTATTTAAATAAATAAAACAAAGAAATGATTGAAATAATAATTAACAAATAAATCAATCAATTGATTAAATTAAAAGTGAACGATTAGAATTCATTAATCCAATAAACTGTTGTTGAATAAAATATTGTGGTAATATATTAATGATAACGAAACAACTTTTAATAATTTCTTTAAGGATAGGAATCATTTGATCAATATAAATAGTTCTATTTGTTGTAAATTCAACAAGATATTCACTAAATAAAGAAATAACTTCATAATAAATATTATTCATAATTTTTCTTAATATATTTGATTGTAATGATTGAATTCTTATTAAACATGAATCTATTTGATCAAATTTCATTGGGAAAATACCTATTTCATTCATTTGATTAAGTGTTCCATCAATGTCAAGATTATAACATGAACCATAAATTCCATAAACTCTAACAAGAATAAAGAAATCATTCTTAATAATAGGATCTGTAACTCTTGATAATACTGATTCTGTTACAATACTTAATTCATTAACAACATTCATTCTACCAATTTGATCATTTAACATAACAGCAGTTTTTTCATTAATAATTTTAAGATATTCATTCATATCACCAACCATACTATTAACCATCATAGCAACCTCTGGTTTTTCTAATCTAGCTTGTTTAGTGATTGTATCAATAACTTCTGGATTATTACCAACTTGATCTGTACTTAATAATTCAGACTTTCCAAGTTCCATAATAATTTTAATAGTAGCTTCTCTATTATAAGGAGTTCCAAGTAAATTAATTAATGCAATAACTGTACTTTGAGGAGGATTATAAGTACTAATAAATTGATAAATAAATTTATTAAAATTGAATGTTTTATTCGATTCTATTAATGGTTTCTTTAATAATAAATCAAATGTTTTTGCTGTAGATTGTTGAATTAAATTGTGATGAATACACAATGAAGAAATAAGTAATACTGCAGAAATACATTGATAATCAAGTTCTTGTTCTTTAAGAATTAGTGTTAAAGCATCTTGATAATGATGAATAATACAAAATAAATAAGAATATTTCATTGGAATAATTTTTGAAATAGAATCTTCAAATTCTTTTATTTTTTGAATATTATGTTGATATAAAACAAAGTTATACCAAATATAATCATCTAATGAATATTTTATTATTGAATCTACTTCATGATATTTTCCAGATATATCAATATTTGCTATTAAATTACAATATAATAATCCATAATAATCTTTTGATATTTCAAATTCAGGAATATATTTAACTGTATCATCCCGTTGTTTAGAATTTAAATAATAATTATTATTAATATACATTCTTAAAATATCTATTAATCCTTGTGGTAAATATGATTCATCTATTCCATCAAGATAATTTAATAACTCATTTTTTAATCCTCCTCTAATTAATAAATAAATTACTGCATTACATCTTTTTTTTAATATACTATTATCTTGAAAATTTGTTACTAATAGTTAATTAATTTAATTCTTCCTTTTATTAATTATATTATTTAACAAACTTCCAAGTTGCATTAATAATTGATCTGCAAGATCATTTAATCGTGTTATTTTTTGTATAAATGATATTTCTTTATCACCAAATAATAAATCAACAAATAATAATTCTAAAAATTCTATTGATGAACGAACTTCACAATTATTAATATTTAATTGATCATTAATAATACTTGTTGAAAGACGAAGTACTTGAGATTGTTCAATAGAGTCAAGAGGAATTTTTTGATTTAATATATTACCTAAACCATGAATATATTGAACTGCAAGAGATAAACTTTGATTAGAAGAAAAAAGAGAAATGACATTATCATAATTTATATTATCAAGATCATTAATCATTTCAGTTAATGAATTCATTATTGTCGGTGGAAAAGTAATTTGAGGTAATTCAATATTTATTCCTTCTATTACTTCATTTGTTTCATGAATAGAATAAAATGACTTTTGAGTAACATTTGCAATAATATCATTACATAAATTATTGTACTGACTAATAAAATATTGTGATGGCGTTGTTCCATTCATTATATCTTCTAATCCTCTTGACACTTTTGTAATTTTAAGTGATCGAACTAAATCAATAAATTTTGTAATTCTTTTATTTGGCTTTATTTTTTTATCTTGTGGAATTTCTCTTTTTGTTCTTTTTTTTAAAGAAGATAATCCTTGGTCCATTACTGGATCAATTTGATTCTTTTGTTCAAATATAAGAAAATCATCTAATAGTGACTCCATTCTTTCTTTTCAATTTCTAAGTTTTTTTTTATTTTTCTTTTTTCTTTGTTATATTTTTATTACTAATTAAACTATTTAAAAATATTAAAAATAATTTAAAAATTGAAATTAATAACATTAATTTATATAATTATTAAAAAAAAGGGTTTTTTCATTATATCTTTGTTAAATAAAACAAAAAAAAATACACCAAAAAGTTATTTTATTATCTAAGTCTTCTAGCTTCTCTTTCAGCTTCAAGAAGAGTAAGAATATCTCCAACTCTAATTGGTCCTTTAACATTTCTTAAAATTTGTCTATTTTCTCCTATAATATCACATCTAACTTGTAATACACCTCCTCGTGAACCAGTACGACCGAGAATTTCAGTAACTTGAGCATAAATAACTGGGGTTTCGGCAACTTGGGTTGACATGAGTAGTTTGACAAAATTAAGTTCTTCTTTTTTTTTTAATTTCTTTTTGAGAATTTTAAAAAATTTTAATAACTAGTAAGATATAAATGTATCTTCAAATCAATTTATATGAGTGAAGATAATAACGAAATCCCTTGTTATATTCCAAAAGATAAAAGAAAAATTCCAGAAAAAAGAAATCAATCTTCGTTCGCTCCACCACCTAAACGTGAATTATTACCAGTAGAATTTGATTGTAAATTAAATAAAGAAGAATTAGAACAAATTAAAGAACATTATAGAGGTAATAATAAAGAAAGTAATACAATTATCAAACCAAGTGAAAAATTTAAAGTTATGAAAATTAATGATTTGTTAATGACAAAAGAAGAAGAAGATACAACAACTGACCCAAATGATTTATATAATAATCCTATTGATTTTCAACCATTACTTGGTCGTGGGAATTGTGGTGGATTAGATAGGGTTGTTAACCCAAATAAAATTAATCAAGAAAAAGGAGAAAGTTACAATGGATTAAACACAATAAATAAGATTAAAACTAAACCACTTAATCAAATGAATGAAAATGATTGGAGAATTATAAGAGAAAATTTAAATATTTTTGTTAATAATAATGAGGTAATTAAACCATTAAGAAAATGGGATGATATGAATGTATGTGATGACTTATTACTACTTATTAAAAATATATATGAAAATCCAACTCCTATTCAATGTGCATCAATACCAATTGCATTAAAAATGAGAGATTTAATCGCATTAGCAGAAACAGGTACTGGAAAGACTTTTGCTTATCTTATTCCACTTATTCAATTTGTTTTAAAACTTCCAAAATTAACAGAAGAAACTTCTGCAAGTGGTCCTTATGCTTTAGTCTTAGCTCCAACTAGAGAGCTTGCACTTCAAATACAAAAAGAAACACTTAAGCTAGCAACACCATTTGGATTAAGGGTGTGTTGTTGTATTGGTGGAGAACCAATGCAACCCCAAATTGAAGAATTGTCTAATGGAGCTGAAATTGTTGTAGCTGCACCTGGAAGACTAAAAGACTTACTGAACCAATCATATTTAGTTTTAGGTCAATGTTATTTTGTTGTTTTAGATGAAGCTGATAAAATGATAGATTTAGGTCTTGACGTTCAAGTGAGATATATTTTTTCAGAACTTCCTTCCGTAAAAGATGGTTCAACAGAAGAAATTATTTCTATGGAAAAAGAAAATGCTAGTGGTAATCCATCAACAAGAACAACTCTTATGTATTCTGCTACAATGCCAAGCACTCTTGAAAAAATAACCAATGAATATTTAAGAAGACCAATCACAATTTCTATTGGAAAAACAGGAAATGTTGCAGAGAATGTCAAGCAAAATATACTATGGGTTGAAGATAATATGAAGAAAAGAAAGTTAATTCAAGTCATTAAATCAAGTTCACCTCCAACAATAGTTTTTGTTAATCAACAAAAAACTGTTGAAGAAATCTGTCTATTATTAGAAAAAGAAAAAATAAATTGTATTGGCATCCATGGTGGAAAAAGACAAATAGAACGTACTGATGCATTAGATGGATTTAAAAGAAAGAAATATTCAGTTATGGTAGCAACAAATATTCTATCACGTGGAATTGATATTGAAAGTGTGGCAAATGTCATAAACTATGAAATGCCACAAAAAATTGAAGAATATACACATAGAGTAGGAAGAACTGGAAGAGCAGGAAAAGGGGGAAATGCAATCACCTTTATAAATGAAAATGATGGAAAGGAAGTTTTAAATCAACTTAGACAAATTTTAGTACAAAGTAGAAATTCAATTCCTAAAGAACTTGACTCTTTCTTAAAAAAGAATGAAATAATTTATTAATAAAACTAATCTTTCCCTTTTTTCAAGATTTATGAAGAATGACTTTTTTCAAAATAATAGATTTTATTTAATATATTATAAATATAGTTAAAAATAATTACTTACAAAAACTAAAAAACAATCATAGAATATATGGCTTTAGAAACACAAGAGAAAAAACTAATCCTCAAATCTCAATTCGTTGAAATCCAACAAGCATTTTTAGAAGATAAAAAAAGAATAGAATATAAAACAAAATGCTTACAAAACGAAACCGAATTAAAATTAACAGAGTTGAAGAATGAGATTATGTACTGGAACAAAAAACAACTTGAAGAGTTACAAGATAGAAAAGAATCTATAGAACAAGAAATCTCAAAGTATATGACTAAGTTATCAACCGATAACCAAAACTCTACAGAAAATCTATGTACTTATTATATAAATGATAGAAACAGTAAAATTGAAAAATTTATTAAAGAAAAAGATTCGATCAAAATAATATTTGAAGACACTGAATATGTTGTTGAAACAAGTATTATTGAACAAATTCCTTTTCTTGCTCATTTAGCAAGTGAGTCAACTGATGAAAATGAGTTATATATATTTAGAAGTGGAAAATATTTTAATTATATCAAAGAGTATGTTTTATCTAAACAGTTAGTAATTAATGAAACTACAACACAAGCTGAGCTCAAAAAAATTGCAAAAGAATTTCAGTATTATGAACTTCCATGGAAACAAATTAATGAATTTATTTCGTGTATCTACAATATTCAAAATATATCAACTCATGGAATTAACTATACTATTAAAGATAATGTAATCCATCCAACAGACAATGGATGTTCATTTATTCAATTTGATAAAGACATTATAGGTATTAAGGTAAAAGTATTAAACATTGGTAATTACATTGACTCTTCTTGTTTATCAATTGGATATTGTCCTTTTATAACTAAAATACCATATTTAGGACAAGATGGCTATTTTCTTAAAAAGAATGGAGAAATTAAAACTTCTCTTAATGGAGTTTCATCTTCCTTTAATTTTTGTTACGAAATAAAAACAAATGATTCTATTAAATGTGTTTTAAATGACATGGAAAGAATGTTATTCTTTCAAATTAATGAAAATGAATCTTCAATAGAATTTGTAGATACAAATATTAAATTGTATCCAACAATTATTATGAATGGTGTTGATCAACAAATAGAAGTTGAAACAATTTACACTCCAATTCTTTAATCCATTCTTGATTTATGTTATTTATTTTTTAATAGTTTGATTAAAATAATAGAAATATTATAAATTATAACAAAAACAAATAATAAATAAGTGGTAAAAATTGAAAAAAGAAAATAAGTAAAAACCCTTTTTTCACTAAAAAGTCATATTTTATCACTTATGGGAATTGAACCAGCATTAGAAGCTATTGCTAGAAAATACAATTGTGATAAAATGATTTGCAGAAGATGTTATGCTAGACTTCCACTTAGAGCTACCACTTGTAGAAAGAAGAAATGTGGACATTCTGGAGACCTTAGACCAAAGAAGAAGATCCAATCAAAGAAATAAATTTGTTCCAGTTATTATCATTATGGAATGGTTTTTATGATATTCTTTTTTTGTTTCTTCTTTTTTCTTTTCCTATTGTAAATCTTAATAATACTACTACTTATCTTTTGTTTTATGAGTAAACAACAATTAAATTTATTAAGACAATATCCTACCTATAAAAAATTATATGCAATGCAAGAAAAAATTGACCAAATGGAAAATGATGAAGTTCCTTTCAATGATATTTGTTCTAATGTTGATTCCTTTTTTGAAAAAGGAGTGATTATAAAAAGTATTATACAAATAGAACACCCAGCAGAGGCAGCTATGAAAGGAGGTAAAAATTTAGATCATCCTAAACCAATACTCAATGATGACGTTGATTTGCTTTGGAATTCAATGAAAAAAGGAAATGTTTTAGAGCTAGATGAATACCAAAATTCAATGAAAAAAGACGAAGACATTTATATCAAAAATGACAATTTCCCACCAATTGATAAAGAAAAAGTAAATGAAGAAATTACAAAACTAATAATCCCTTCAGCAATTCATTTTAATCCTCATGTTCTTGAAGTTTGTAATACGTTTAAACAAAAAATTTTTACAACAAATGATTTAGCTGATGCAGTTCTTTCAGTACTTGGACATTGATTTATATATAACTGACTGTTCATTACGTTTAAGGTTTTTTCTTTATTAATTTTTTAAGAAAAGACAAAGAGAGAAATGACAATTACAAACACGATGAAAAAAGTAAAAGAAGAATAAAATCAATTAGAAAAACCCTTTTCACAGATTTTAGTCAAGATTTAATGATGAAATAAACTATTTTTAATAAGAAAATAAGAAATAATAAAAAGAAAAAATAAAGGAAAAACAGAAGAAGAAAAAAGAATAATAAGATGGTGAAAAAAAAAAGAATCTTTGCAGAACTGAATAATCCAAAAATTATGTCAGTTGATTTAAGACAAATCTTATCTGATTTGGCTAATAGTAAAAAGCTCATTGAAGGTACTCTTTCAAAACTTAGACTTGCTTCAAAGAATGGTGATGCTAAATTATACAAACAAAAACAAACTGAACTAAAAAATGAAATGGAACAATTCCAATCAATTCTTGAACGTGCAAGTAGTGTCTCTGAAGATGTTATTGAAGACTATCCAGAACTTAATTATAATGCCAAAGTTGCTCAATACTTTTCATTTACTTCAAATATCCAAAATAATATTGCTCCTCCACCTCAACAACAATCAATTGGTAATGCTGAAAATGAACCATTAATTGGTTATGATGATGAAGCTCGTTTACAAGACCAAAGTAATTTAGTAACTGAAATGTATGCTGATAATACTCAAGAAATTAGTGATATTGTAACTAAAATGAAAGATTTAAATGTCGGATTTACCAAATTACATTCATTAACAGAAGTACAACAAGCTCAAATTGATAACATAGAAGCAAATGTTCTTACTACTGATGAAAAAGTTGCTGATGGTGTTGATGAAATAAGTCAAGCACAAGTTTATCAAAAGAAAGCTAGTAAAAAATTATGGATTATCCTTTGTGTTGCAGGAGGAATTGTTATTGTTCTTGGAGCAATTGTAACTCTTGTATGCATCCTTAAATTCTCTGGAAAGAAAAATGATTAAAACAATGTTTTTTGGATGAACCTAAATTTATATTTTATAATATTAACATAAAACAAAAATAATAAAAAGCAATGAAAGAATTAAATGATATCTTCAAAGTGTTTATCAGTTCTAATTACTGTTTGTTTATAATTTTTTCCTAAAGTTGATTGAACAAATTTAACAGTATCAGATAATATCGTTTCATTTGTTTGAATTTGTTGTAACTGATTTAATTTGATTTGGTGTTCTTGTTTAGTTAAAAGAATAAATTCAGATGCATGCATCTCAACAAAATAAGGTACTTTTGGTAAACAACATAATCTTAATTTCTCTAAATCAGTTGGAAGTTCATTAACAATATTTGATAGCATTGTCATGTTAATTACTGCTTCTGGACTTTCATCTTCAATTCTTGCTATTTTATCTCTTAATAAATAAAGTTTTTTAAATGTATCAAATTGAGTCTTTTTAATCCAACTTCTTCTTGCCACTCGTTCTATAACATCATCTGAACAAACTGTAGGTCTAAATAGACGAAGACATAGTTCATTTGATTTATTTAATACTTCTTCTAATACACCAGCATCAATACATTCATTTCTTAATTGATCAATAATATAAAGAAGATAATGAGTATCTCCTCTTGCATATTCAATCATTTCTTTTGTTAATGGACGCAATCTCCAATCAGCTAATTGATATTTCTTATCAGCATCTACATTACAATATTTTTGTAAAAGATATTTTAATGAAAAATGTTGTAATTTTAATGCTCGTGCACATTGACCTGAATCAATACAATTTACAACATATAGACCAAAGTTATATGATAACCAAATCATATCAAAATCACATCCATGAAATACTTTCTCAATATTTGGGTTTGTAAAAGGATCATTTAATAATGTTATTGAATCTCTTAATGTAATTGTATCAATAATATAATCACTTGATCGTGTACTAATTTGTAATAAACATACAAATCCATAATAAGAATGTTCACTATGATGTTCTACATCAACAGCAAATTGATTGACATGATTTAATGATACAATCATTTCTTGAAGAAGTTCTAATGTGTTAACATAAATCAATGGTGTTTTCTCAAATGATAAAGGAGGTTGTGGAGTACATTTTTCTAATTGCCAATCCATTTGTTTTAATTCATGAATTTCATTAATATAAGGATGAGGTTGTGCATCAACAGGATATTTTGAATGATACTTTTTAATACATTTTGGTTTATATTCAACACTAAAATTATCTGGTTTATCAGTAAAATTTAATTGTGGTTTGTTTATAACTAGTGGCTTATCATCAAACTGATTTTTTGTTAATTCTAAGGTTTCTTCTATCTCAACAGCTTCAAGTAAAAAATCAACTACATGAGTCACAACATCAATATCATTTGGACGTTCTTTCTCATTATTAGTTAGTTTACTATGAAGTTTAGGATGAATGTCATTAAACATTTTTAATGTTTGATTAATTTCATTTAGTGCAGTGTCAACAGATTGACTAAATTCTTTATATGACATCATTTCAATATATCTATTTCCTGTTGCAAATGACTTTGTTGAACGAGCAGTCTCAACAGCATATTTTTTAATACTTTCACAAAATGAATCAACAATTTCTGATTGTTTTTTCATTGGCTTATTTTATGTTTTATTAGTTTTTTTTAATTAAAACCCTTGTTTGCGTTATAAAAATTTGATTTTAATAACAAAAATCAATTAAAATGTCATTTGTTCAACCACTTCAGCACTGTTTAATGGTCTTTTTCTTCGATCACGAATTGCTTGAAATGTTGTACGAATAACAATGAATAGAACCGTTGCTAATACAAAAAGAGGAAGGAAGATCATTCCTGGAAGTACTTCTCTTGTGATTTCATTTTCTTTTACTTCTACAAAAACAGGTTTACCTAATGTTAGTGATATGAAAAGACAAATAACAATTGATGTGATAGTCATTTAATTTATATTTCTGTTTATTCCGTCGATTTTTTAGATTTTTGTATTTTATTTTTGTAATATATAACAATAATTTACAAAAATATATTTTTGTTGAGTTTCATTCAAATCAAAAACTCCAGCAAAAAAATAGAAAAAGTTCAGAAGAAGAATTACCAAAACAAATTCTGTCATACTTTAAATTTATATCGTTCATCTCATAAAACCATATCACCTAGTCTGACAATGAAAAACGAAAAGAGTTGCGATTCAAATGTTACTAATGCAGAAGAAGAAATTAAAAGACAATTAAATGAATTTGAACAAGTACTTCTTCAATCTCTTAAAGCTCAATTTAGCCCTTTATTTGTTCCATCAAATACAGACACTATGAATGTCTCTATTAATAAAATGTATTTATAATTGATTCTTTATTAAAAGAGAAAGTCATTCTTGTTTTTTGTTTAGTCAAAAATTAAATTGTTTTTGTCATGGAGAGATACATTTGCTGTCATTTGATAAATTTAGTATTATTACTTTAAAAATAAATCAAACATTATTTTCTTCTTGTATTTATAAAAATAAAAATACCTTAATTCTCTCTCAAAGAAAATATTTATTCTTTGAAAAATATCAGAAATTCTTCATTATCACTATTGTTACATATTTTTCTTTATTATCTAACTCTTTTACAAGAAAGAAACTTAGTTCTCTTGTTGCTCAAGCAATAAACAAAATTATAAATAATAACAAACATTAGTTTTGTTATTGTTATGACTTGAAAAGTCATATGAAGCTATTCTGAAAAGGTTTAGTTATATTTGAGAATATTATAATAACAAGACATTTATTGTCTGTTTAACAAATTGAATATTTCTCTATGAAAGAAGAAATTAAATCAAGAGAACCTATATATGAAATACTACAAACTATGGAAGATAAAGAATCAATTAAGATAGTTAAAACACAAAATAAATTTATCACTAAATTTTCACAAAAAAAAAATGTTATTATTATTATTTTTGAAATTAAAGTTATTCATTACATTCAATAAAAAGATAAATGTCAAGTGTTTGATTTATCATTACTTATTAAATTATTATCAATTGTAGAAATTGTTTATTTATTTTGTAAATGGTAAGACATATTAGAACTCATTCAAATTAGCTGTACACTTATTAGAATATTTCATTTGACACATTTAGAAATGAAATAATAACAATTGTTTTAGACAGCACATTAAATAAAAATGAACATCTAAATTACATTGGTTGAAGGGGTGTGGTGTTTAATTTCTCATAAGAAATCCAATGCTCTCTTGTTTTTTCATTCCAAACAAACAAGCGAGATTCTTTTAAGACTTGTCTTGAATCAGATAAAAGATCATCTAATTTCAATTCAAGATGAAAAGACCTTCTAACAAGTTCAAAGTGTTGAAGTAAAGGAGAAGATGCAATTATTTTTAATAAAGGAAATAATTGTTCTATTTGATTACAATAATGTTTAATGATGATATTCCATCCAAATAGATTAGTTTTTACTTCCCATAAAGTAAGAATTTGAGAATAAATAAAACTTATTCGAACGACCATTTCAACTACATCCCCATTCTCATAAAAGTCTTTTGCTTTTAAACATAAATGGTTGAAATATCCAATTACTTCTGATTCATTAAAAGTATTAATTTGAGATAATCCACGAGTAAGAGGAGATAGACATTCATTTGTTATTGAACAAAGGTTTTGAAGAGAAGTACCTGACTTAAATATATCTGTAAGAAGTTGTGAGTCAATTGGAATTTTTTTATTTTTCAGAAAAAATAAAGGAAGAGAGTTTGATTTTATAAGCTTCTTTTCTGAACTAGAGGTTATTGGTTTTGGTAAGTTTTTAATTTTAATGGAAAGGTCATTTAATGAATAAATTCTAGGTATTGTAGTTATGTCTTTTGTTGAAAGAGGGACTAATTTACTTATAACCCAATATGATGTTTCAGTAGAGGTTTTAATTTGTACAACATCTCTTTGTCTTGTTCTTCCTTTTCTAATACATCTTCCATTTCGAATAATAGTTCCAGTAATTCCATTTGTTTTAATTATTTTTTGTGAAAGATGAATGGTTTGAGAAGAGATTATAGTGCAGAGGTATTGTTTGTAAGGACGAATAGACCAAGTGACTTCTTGGTTGAGGAACAAAGAAGACATAGAAATAGAAAATGCATAGTTTCAAAGTCAATTTTCGAGGTAGTTTGATTTGTAATAAATTAAATAATTAATAAATTAAAGAATTAATAATTCACTAATGATAAAAAAAAAACAAAGAAAAACTAAAAAGAAAAAAAAACAATGGATGACCAGTTTGATGAATTTGGGAATTACATTGGGAATGACCAAGTTATAGAAGAACAACCTCATGAGGATGATATGGATAATAATAATGAAGATGAATTGAACAGGAATGAAGATAGAAAAAACCAAATTGTTTTACATGAAGATAAACAATATTATCAAACAGCAGAAGAAATTTATGGTAGTGATGTTGAAGTATTATATAGAAATGAAGATGAACAAAGCATTACAGAAGGTATAATACCAGTAGAGAAAAATAAGAAAATACAAAGAGAATATAAAACAAATCCAACAAGTAAATATGATTTTGAATATATTTCAGAACAAATGAATAATATAGATAAGATTAGAAATATTGCAGTAATAGGATCATTACATCATGGGAAAACACAACTGATTGATTTATTATTTAGATATTCACATGATAAAAGTATTGATGTTGATAAAATAACAACAAATTATATGGATATAAGAAATGATGAACAAGAATTAAAAATATCAATTAAATCTAGTCAAATAAGTTTATGTATTCCTTCAAAGAAAAATGGATATTATTTATGTAATATCATTGATACTCCTGGACATTCAGATTTTATTGATGAAGTTATTGTTGGTCTTTCATTAGCCGATAATGTTATTATCACAATTGATTGTGCTGAAGGTGTTTTATTAACAACAAAACATTTAATTGAAATAGTAGCACAACAACATCTTCCATTAATTGTTGTTATAACCAAAATAGATAGACTAATCATTGATTTAAAATTACCTCCAGAAGATAGTTATTGTAAAATAAGAAATATTATTTGTGAAGTTAATGAAATATTACATAAATATCAAATGAAATTAATATCACCAGAAAATAATACTGTTTTATTTGAATCATCAATATTTGGATGTCTCTTTTCATTAAATAGTTTTTCAGAAAAATATATTCCAAAAACAACAAAAGGAACATTAGAACAACGAATTCGTGGTGCAATTGGATTTGATAGTCAAATATTTGGTCAAAATATGTGGGGTGATAAATGGTTTGACCATCAAACACATACATTTAAAAGAATAAAAGGAAATGAAAAGAGGACATTTGTTGAATTTATATTAGAACCAATTTATAAAATTGTTGGAATGTGTGTTTCTAAAGAAGGGAAAGAATTAAAACAAGGATTAAAGAATTTTAATATTAGACTGGAAGGGAATGAAAGTGAACTAAATTTTATTCCATTATTAAGAACAGTATTTTATAAATTCTTTGGAGAAAGAAATTTAACAGGATTTGGAGATACTCTTCAAGAACTAATGACTCCTAAAGAAGCAGCACAAAAAGTAATAACAAAACTTTCAAATGATAAGATAGAAATGAAAGATATCATTAAAAAATGTGATAGAAATGGACCATTAGTTATGAGTATTATTCGATTATTACCAAATACAAGAAGTTCAGAAATGATTGGAGTTTGTAAAGTGTATAGTGGAACTATTCATGAAGGAGATAGTGTTAGAGTATTAGGAAATAATTATTCAGAAACAAATACAGAAGACATGAGAATTGAAGAAGTTTTAAGTGTTCAACTCGATATGGCACAATACAAAGTACCAATGAGACAAGGAATACCAGCAGGAAATATTTGTATTGTAACAGGAATTAATCAAATTATTAGTAAAAATGGGACAGTTGTAGATAAAAGTTTAACAGAAATTCAACACATTAGAAATATTGAAATACCAACACCATATATTAAAGTTGCAATTGAACCATTAAAACCATCAGAAAAAGAAATAATGATAGAATCTCTTTCAAAAGTAACACAAAGTTATCCAGGTTCAATGGTAAAATGTGAAGATAGTGGAGAATATATAATAACAGGATATGGAGAAATGTATTTAGATTGTATATTAAGAGATGTAAGAAATATGTTTACACCAATAGAAATTAAAGTTAGTGATCCATGTGTAATTTTTAATGAAACAGTGTCATGTTTGTCTCAAATGAAAAGTGTTGCACTTTCAACAAATCATAGAAATAGAATTGCTGTTATTATTGATCCATTAGATGAAAATACAATTAAAGGAATAGAAAAAGGAGAATTAAAAGAAGAGAAAGGAAGAGATGAAATATTATATAAGAAGTATCAATGGGATATTCTTGCATCAAAATCTCTTCTTTGTATTGGACCAGAAGAAAAAATTCCAAATGTATTATTAAATGATATTTTAGAAGAAGAAAAAAGGGAAAAAATAAATGAAATGAAAGAAGCATGTTGTATTGGATTTAAATGGGCAATGAGCTCAGGACCATTATGTGAAGAAGAAATGAGAAATTGTAGAGTAAGAATTATTGATGCTGAATTTGAAAGAAATGTTGATGAACAACAAGTTATTCAAGCATTAAGAAGATCAATTTATGCAGGAATTATTTTATCATCACCACAACTTTTAGAACCAATTTATGTTGTTGAAATTATTACTCCAGAAAATGCAATTAAAGGTATAACTAAAAGTATTAGTGATAGGCGTGGTTTTATTATTCAACAACAACCTCTTGAAGGCACTCCATTCCAACAAATTCATGGAAATATCCCATTAATAGAAATATTTGGATTTGAAACAGATATTAGAACATTTAGTAGAGGTCAGGCATTTGTTCAAAGTTGGTTTAGTCACTGGGGAAATGTTCCAGGTGATCCTTTAGACAAAGAAATTAAACCATTAAATTTACAACCAAATCCTCAACCTTATTTATCAAGAGAATTTATGATGAAAACAAGAAGAAGAAAAGGATTAGTTGATGATGTTGATACATCTAAATATTTTGATGAGGAAATGCTTTCAACAATGAGCCAAAATAATTTCATTTTTTGATTGGAAAAATTTTATTTAATGATGTTTATCAATTTTAACTTTATTTTTTTTTTTAAGTACTTCTCTAATTTAAAAGATTTATTGAAAAACTATAATATCTAAAAAGTATTACTTTATGTCAAGCACCTTTTGTCTTGAAGAAGAGAAAAACAGAATTATTACCATAATTGAAAAAGTCCCAGATTTAGTAACGGAAAATAAAAACTTATGTGAAGAAGTAAATTACTGGAAAAATAAATTTGTGACTCTCCAAGAAGAGGTAAACAATCATTACAATGCCGCTATTTACAATTATGAATTATGTATGAAGTATGAAACCAAAGTCACTGAATTAACTAAATCTTTACAAAATATGGATGCCAAAACTAAAGAAATGAGTGAAGAATATACCAAGAAAGAACAAAAAATGAATGAAGAATCTAACCAAAAGATAACAGAACTAAATAATAAAATCAATCAATTAGAAGAAAAGATTGTTCTCTTAAATGAAGAAAAAGAGAAACTTTTAGCAGACATTTCTAGTGCAAAAACAAGGGGTAAAGACCAAGAAGTAGAGTCAAAGGACCAATTCAGTGTTTTAGAGAGTAATGATAAAGAAAAACACACACCAATACAACAACAAAATGAACCAAAACAAGAAGAGATAACAAATGAAACAAATGAAAACACTCCAGAAGAAGCTAAAGAATTAGAAAAAATAGTAAACGAGAAAAAATCTAATGATGCTATGAAAATTATAGAAAAGCTTGGTGGTATTAAAGCACTTGCCAAAAATACAAACCTAAACAATATGTCTTGGTCTTACAACCCAAAAGAGGATGGACTTTTTGAAGTAATTATTTTTTGTAGTGACAAAAGTTGCTCTTTTATTGCAGTTTATAACTCACAAGAAATGAATGTAGAAGAAAACCAGCCATATTGCCAAACCAGTAACGATCATTTCTGCATTTTTGATTTACCAGCAGGAAGTTATGAAATCTTTGCATATAATGATGAGTCATTAGAGAATATTGGCTATTCAAAAATAACATTTAACTAAAAATTTTTAGTAAATTTAAGTTATGTTCTTTTTAATAAAAAAGCATTTAGATGTTGCATTATTATGATTAGACTTTATAAAAGTAATAAAGGAGTGACACTAACAATTTTTAATTCATCTTTCAAAAAATTAAATAATAATTCTAATAACTCTTTATTATTATTATATATAAAGGAAAACTAAGATATTAATATATTGTTAAAAAAATTTAAAATTCAAATAATAATATCTTAATTAGTATTTGTTTTCTTTAAGTCCATCCTTGAAGAAATAGAAAGTTGGATTAACTCCATCATGATACATAGCTACTGCAACCATACCATTATCAGTATCGCAAGATTCTCCTGAATAGAAAGAACAATCTTTGAAAGCTCCAATAACTTTCTTAACAAATGCAGTAGCATCTACTTTGAATTGATCAAGTTTTTCTGGATGATTTTGTTGAAGATAATCAGCCATTTTCTTCATATATCCTTTAATATGAGCCATATATTCAGTCTTTGTGAATGCTTGTTCAACTAAATGAGCATTATCAACAACATCAATAACCTTTTCAACATTAGCTTCTCCAGCTTCTCCTGCAGCTCCTTCTTCTGCATCTTCATCAGCATTACAAGCAATTCCAAAATCTTCTTCTTTTTTAACAACAAATTTAGCCTTAACGACATACATGCATCCCTCAACAGTTGGGTTAAATGAATCAGAGAACATTTCATCATCAGTGAAGATATCAGCAAATACAATCATTTCAGACTAATTGAATGATTATTATAAGACCTTTTTCCTTAAATATTTCCTTCCTTTATCCAACCCTCAGGGTTGTTTTTCTTTTTAAAATTTCCTGTTTATTCTTTTTATTTTTCGGGATTTTTCTTATTAGTAACCCTACTTTTATTTTTAGATATCTTTTTATTTGAATTTCACTTTAAAATGTTATACATAACTTAAATTTAATCACTGATATTTTTTAATTATTTTTATTTCAATTTCTATTCTTAACACAGGAAGTAACAAAAAAGTTTTGTGATTCAGATATTTGTATTTTAGTAATGATTTATTGTCATTAATTCACAATAACAAAGAATTTTCTTGATTATGTTTCTCAAATATAGAATTTTTTGTTGATTTTTTATAGAAAAATATTCTTTTTCTTATTTTGAATATAATATGGAATTATAAAAAAAATTTCACTTGTTTATGAATAAAATGAATAATGAAGTAAAGTTTATTTTTTTTGATTGTACTTTATAATCAAAGGAATATTTTTTTGTGTATTTAATTTTTAGTTATTAGTGAGTGTTATAAATATTATTAATTATTTAAATAATTCACAACAACTCCATTAAATATATACTAACATTAGAAGATATGATATGATTATTTATAATTATTTAAGTATTTAAAAAAGTTGTAAGAATTTTAATAAATTATATTATTTATTATAAAAGAAAAGATTAAATAAGAAAAAACTTGTTAAAATACGAGTTATTTTCGGTTCGAGAGAAGAAAATCTCTACATGAAATAAAAATCTTTTTTTATTTTATATTGGAGGAATATTATGGAATAATTCATTATATAATTTGAAAAAAAAAGAACTTAAAATCATATTAGAATGTTAAAAATGTTTATCATTTTCTTATTCCTTGTTGGAGCACTTTCTAATTATCTTAAAAACCCTTCATTTGAAGAAGGTAATGGAATAGATATAACTAACTGGAGAAACCAATATGAAACATGTCAAATTGACACAACAATTTTTCATTCAGGGAAACAATCACTTCATTGTAAAGATGCATCAACAAGTCAAAGAGGTGGAATTAAACAACGTATTGATAATTTAGAAACTGGAATGACATATAAATTGTCAGCATATATTAGAATGAAAGATGTACAAAATGGAAATGTATTAATATTTTCTGAAAGTTTAGACTCAGAAGAAGGGATTTATGGATATAGTAGTTCAATAACTGAATGTACTTCTGGTACTTGTAATGATAAATGGTATTTATTGGAAATTGTTGGAAATAGTGGCTTTATACAATCAGCACATACCTTTGGAATATTATTACATGCTGCTGGTGCATTAGGAGAATTTTGGATTGATGATGTTTCAATGGAAGCAGTAAATCCTGATATATTAACAACACTTCAAGTTGTTTCATGGAGACAAGAAGCATACAAGGATGATATAGAAATTCGAAGTGGTATTAATGTAGAAAATACAATATTTGAAAAAGGAGATTATTTATCTTTTAAATTAGAACTCTCATCCCAAACTACTTCTTCAAAATTAACTTCAGAAACATATACACTTAAAAAGGAATTACGTCAACGTATTGTCTCTTTTATTATTAACCCATCAACACTCAACCCAGGTTATTATACTGTCAAATTAACTTGTACAAATTCTTATAAAACTCAAAAAGTTGAATCAATAGAAACAACTCTTAGAGTACTTGATCATAAACCTTCTTATACAACATATATTGATGAACATTTAATTACATGGAAAGATGGAAAAAAGTTCTTCCCATTAGGACTTTATTTTGATGAAATTGTTGACTCTGACCTAGAGTTATTAAAAGATAGTCCATTTAACCTTATCATTGGACCAGGTGGAATGACACCTGAAACAGTACAACATATTTATACTGCTACAAATAACCAAATTAATGTCATTAGACCAGTGACTAAAGGTGCTTGTGTTGATCCAAACAAATGTTCTGAACAAGACTTCAATGATGGATTAGTTATATTAAAAGGATTAATTTCACAATTTAAAGATATTGAAGGATTTTTTGGATATTATCCAGTAGATGAACCATTAACAACTTTTATTGATAGACTAAAACAAGTCACTTGGACTATTAGAGAAAATGATGAAAAACATGTTGTTTATACAGCTGTTAATAAAAACAGAGAAGTAGCTACTCTTAAAGAAGGTATGGATTGTTTTGGATTAGATGTTTATCCTGTTCAAAATGAAGAGCCATTGTATGCTGTTTGGCTTGTTGCAGAAAGAGGAAGAAAAGGAGTTGCAAATGGACAAGGGTTATGGAACATTATCCAAATATTTGATTGGACTGTTTATAAAAAACCAAATGAAGAACCACCAACTGAACAACAAATAAGACAAATGACCTATCAAACTATTGCTGGAGGTTCTATGGGTATTATTTATTATGACTTTACAGATTTACATAAAATGAATAGTAAAACATCATTTGATAAACAATGGAATTCAGTAAAAAAGATTGCACAAGAACTAAAGGATAAGTATGTTGATATTATTTATTCTATTGACATACCAAATGAAAATTATAACCTTCCAGAACAAGGACATGATGTTGGAACAAGAATATGGAAAAAAGATAATAGTGATTATATCCTTATTGTTAATAATCAAAATAAAGAAATTACTTATACGTTTGATAGACCAAGTGAAGATTTGAATTTAGAAATAATTAGTGGAACATCAACTATTCAATATAATGGAACACGTGTTACTTTAAAAATGCCATCAATGGATGTTGTATGGCTTAAAAGTGATGAATATAAAGAAAATATAACAAATTCTCTTCAAATACTTACAATTATTTTAATAATAATGTTATGGTTCATTTAATTGATTACTTATTCTAAAAAACTATTTAAAAAGATTATTTGAAAGGTTTAAAAGAAGTTTTTAAATTGTTTTATATTTTAAAATTTATTTTATACTAAGAATTATTATATTGTATGTTATATTTTAATTTCAATATAATTTTGTTAATTAAAAAATAAAATATTTAATATCCTTTAAAAGGTAACTGTTTTATTTGACTTTCATTTAATATTTAGTTTAAAGAATTTTGATACTTCCAAAAAGATTTCATTACTTCAGCAACAAGCCTAGTCATAGAGTCAACATCAGAGATACCTCCAATTTCTCTTATTGAATGCATTGATAATAAAGGAATTCCAAAATCAATAACATTTAACCCAGTATGTGATGCAATTTTTGGACCAATAGTACTTCCTCCTCCTCCTTTTTCTTGTCGTTTAACAGTTCTTTGAAACTTTACTCCAACCTCTTCTCCTAGTTTAGATATAATTGCAAAAACATTAGAATCACCAAGTAGTTGTTGACTACAATTAGTTTCAATAACTAGTCCATGGTTCATATAAACTGGATGTTTATCATCAGTTCTATCTGGATAATTTGGATGTGCTGCATGACCAACATCAGTACTTAAAACAATAGACTTACTTTCTCCAATTTGAATTCTTTCTTCTATTCCTTTTTCATCATTAAAACAATAAGCAATACGTTTCATGATATTTGGTAACATCACTGAATTTGCTCCTCTTCTATTAGTTGATCCTATTTCTTCATCATCATAAATACAACTCATAAGAATATTACAATTTTCTTCTAATAGCTCATCTTTACTTGATCTAATCATTCCATAAATTGCTCCATATGAACAAATCAAATTATCAAGACCTTGTCCAACGACAAACTCTTTATTCATTCCTAATAAACTTGGTTTTTGTATGTCACAAAGATATAAGTCATATGTTATAATTGATTTATTTCCAATTCTTTCTTGAATTAATTCTAATAATTCTTTCTCACTTAATCCAATAGCAGGTAATTCGGTTTCTTTATCAATAACAAATCCCTTTGGATATCTTTTATCTAAATGTGGTGCACATGTAGCAATTCTATACAAAGGCTCTTTAATAACAATAGGAATACTTTTAAATTGTCCTTCTTCTTCTACAACAACTCTTCCACAAATTCCTAAATCACGATCAAACCAAGTAGTCCATACTCCTCCACCATAAGTTTCACATGAAACTAAATTTAATTCTTCTGATTCTTTGAAAGGGTTTGGTTTTAATTTTAGTGATGGACTATCTAAATGTGCACCAGCAATAATAAATCCATTTCCAACTTCCTATTAAATTAAATTTATGTTTATTATTATTATGACAAACAAACATATTTCCCTCCAATTGCAAAAGCAAAGATAGTAGCATCATCTCTAATAATGAAATACTTTTTTCCTTTTTCTAAATTCCATAAGTTATTTTCTTTTAATAATTGGAAATTATTATCTAAGAAGAGTTGTTTAATATGTTCAACAGCATTAAAAGCTGAACCAGAACAATTTTCTAAAAATTTAAGAAAGTCTTCTTCCATATTACCAAGTTCAAATGAACCAATTATTTCTTAGATCAAAAACTCATAGAATGATAATTTTTATAGTACACCTTTTATTTATTGATAATTTTATGAAAACAGAATTAACTGATCAAAATATCTTTTGTCTTTAATGTCTTTCTCAATTTTTATTATATTACCTTCTTTCTTTTTATGAATTAATTTAATTAAAGTAAAGTGTGAAATAACAATGATATATTTTATTATTTTTTTTTCTACATCTTCAATTAAGAAGAGAAAGTTAATAATAATACACTTCAAAAAGATGTTTTTTAGTTTATTTAAGTCTTTGATAAATAAAAAGTAATAAAACAACTTATATAATTTATTTATCATTAAATTTATTTATTCAAAATGAATTGGTTTATTTTCTTTGAAATTTTTTGTTTCAATTCTATCACATGGTCTTATTGTCCAATTTCTTCCATATAAAATAATACGTTTATCTTTATAATGTAATTTCATATTAACAACTTCTTTTGGAATAACTGTAATTGTTACTGGAGTTGTTGGAGTTGCAAGAACAATAACATTCTTTGACTCATAAACACAAATACCTCTTTTACCAACAAGTGATGGATTTTTTGATTGAATAATACTAATTTCTCCACCTTGAATTTCAGCATTTAATAAACTATTTAAGTCATGTGATAGTTCCATAATTTTATCAATATATTGAATCCATAATTGATTCATTTTAATAACAATATCTTTTCTATCTTTTTTAAGTGTTTTAAATAAAAAATACTCATTATTAGATAAAACAAACGTTAGTCTTGAAAAGTCTTGTTTTAATTGTTGAATTCCTATTGGTCTTCTCATAACTTTTGTTGGCTTTTTTGAAAATTTAGGAGGTACGGGTCTTACAAGAAGATTGATACGTAAATAAGGAAGATTTGATTCATCAATACGTTCTTCTTTTGCTTCTTCGTTTGGAAATGCAGTCATTAGATCACATAAATATGACTTTACCATACTTGCTGTTTTTGTTTTATCAACAAATGTCCCATCAAATTTTTGGTATAAGTCATAATTTTGATTCGTGGAGTTTGATTCCATTGAATGACAGTTTTCAAGATTGAGTTTATTTAAAGGGTTTACTTTTTTCTCTTTATTATTTTCGCGTTTCATGCATTCTACAGAATGGTTTTTTGTATTTATTACATTCAAATGTACAACACAAATATTTTTAATGATAGCTATTGCATTTTATAACACCAATATTAATGAATATTTATATATTTATTACTTCGCTAAGTAATTTTAAGGTATTATAACAATGTCTTTTTTTCTTGTTGCTCTTCTTTTATAACGTATAGAATAGCCAAAAACATCGTTTTGACATATTTTTGTCTCAATGTTAATTTTGTTAAACTAGTTTTTGTGTATTTCAATTTAATTATTGTTTTTTATTACCTTCATATGATGGCTTATAATACAGTCATTGTTAAGTTTTACAGTGTATTATTTGTATAATTCTTACTGAGCATATTTTCTTAGTTCTTTTGTAATAGTTGTTTGGCAGTTTTATTAATGAAACTTATTAATATACTCTTAATTTAACTTTTTATTCAGATTTGATAATGTTAATACCGTGTATTTAACTATTTAAACAGTCATACTTTGAATTTATAAACATCAAATTAAATTAAAATGAAAGAGTTAATAGACAAGAATAACCAATTGATTAAAGAAGTAGTAAAAATACTTGCATTCATTCAACAATCAATTTATGGTGATATTAATAAGAGGTATCAATATTATTTAGAAAGTATTAAAAGAGGAAGAAACAAGAAGGGAGAATGTAAAGAAGAATGAAGGAAATAATGGAAGAAATTTACCAAATAGAAGAATGGACAGAAAAAAGAATATCCAATATATTATTTGATTCATATAATGATAATTTGAAAGTTGATACATCAGTATTTGATCAAAGAATAATGAATAAAGAACATATAATAATTATTATTGAAGATGAAGAAGAAAATAAATTTGGAGGATATGTTCATTCTAATATTGATAAAATTGATAAAGATTATGAATGTATATATGATTCAAAATCATTTTTATTTTCATTAGTATCAAAATGAAGAATGAAAAGAATGAAGAAATATGATATTATACAATCACAATATGCATTTTTATTTATATAATCAATTGAGTGATTATTTAAATATATTTGGAAATGATATAAATGATATTCTTGGTAGTAAAGAAAATG